GACAGATTTGCAAGAAAACCAGCAGAAAAAGAAATTAAAATAATACCACCTTACAAAATTGACGAATAGTAGGTATATAAAGTCTACATCATACTAACAGAGTTCTCAAAGCTCTCAACAATTTATTTCAAATACCTTATTAAATTAATCATATTATGCATCAGTTAAGGGCAACTTATTATGATACTAGTGAAAAATAATTTGCTATTGAAAAGTGGTAACAATGTTCCAAACGGCCAACAAGACACATGAGTGCTGTACAAGATCTACCTCGATACTCCTCTGGGTGCAGAGGTGTACGGATACCTTATGTTAATCTAACTCAAAAAGCATTCTAACTTGGGTTTAGTAAAATGTGTTCTGTCGCTTAAAGGCAAAAGGGGGAACGAAAATACTGACAGATTTGCAAAGAAAACCAGCAGAAAAAGAAATTAAAATAATACCACCATACAAAATTGACGAATAGTAGGTATATAAAGTCTACATCATACTAACAGAGTTCTCAAAGCTCTCTCAACAATTTATACAGAGGTTAAATTAATAATATAAAGAGTGCCGTGACCCCCAGGCAAAGATCATAAGTCGCGTCGGAAGTTGTTCTCTGTAGGCTTTCCAGTTTTATTTATAATTTCGTACATTATTCGTGAACGTAAGTATTATGTACCTACCGAATCTTAAACGTGTCATCCAGGAATCATATCATTGAACACCTTATAACACTGAAGAAGAGCTTATGTTATACACAATAACCGTGGGAGGAGACGACGCAATACAAGGACTACTTAATTATGAAGGGATTCTATATGCTTAATATTTTTCTGACTCGCACATTGTTTACTCATGATAAACACAACCCTACAATACCTAATAAATTAACATATATATATATATATATATATATATATGAATATAAGAATGAAAATGCTTATTCAACGTTAAACCCTAACCAACATATTGCCTTTACAAAGAATACAATACAAGGAAGTATATCCATCAACTATCCAGAATTTTTATATTATATTTGCATGACAATACTACACCAAACCCAGAAGCTTATATAATGTAGAGACCTTCCATCAAATACAATTTAGGAATTCTCAGAATTCCAGTTGTACCGTAGTACACAGCTTCTTTCGTTGTTATAAAGTGGGATTACGACTATTCATAAAAGATGCTGTGACATTATAAGGGCTGGCTTAGAGGCAATGCAAAACCATTGTTGGCATCCCATAAGGCATTTATTTCAGACTTTTTGAGTATATACCCAAGGTATTTGGACCTCCTATTAATAAACATAGAATAAGCTTGAATTTCTTACTATATGTCTATGGCTACTGTCGCAACTACTTACGTAGCGCCAAATTTCTGTAAATCGATTTCCACGCCTCCAAGGCTCTTCAATCTTACTCACTCTTCAAATAATTACTTTGTCAATAATTTTGACTAGCCCCTATAAGTGTTGCTGTCTAAATACCTAATTCTCAGTAAGCTATTCCAAATATTTACAGTGAAAGCCGAACCCATTTCTTATGTAAATAGTTTAGTCGGTATCGTGCCAAATATTGAAGACACCAACTTGGATACCCACGAATAAGTTACGCATTTAAGCGGAAGCACATCTGAAACCCATATCGTGAACTAAATCGGAAGTAGTACTCACAAAAAAATAAGGTATATGGTAGCAATCCCGGTAATCCCATGAGTTTAAAACAATTATATCAAATTACTAGTACTGTCGACTACAAAAGGTTGTATACACCTTAAAGTTACAAATACATGTATGTATACATGTATCCATTTAAAAAAGTGTACATACTTCATTACTCATTATTGCACAAATGATATATGGCTGAAATATGTATTCACTCAATGTACCAAATGGAAATAAGTGGCAAAAATAATTTCTAAGTCAACTTCTTTAAAAAATGACACGCCAATAACGTCATGCACAAAATAAATAGCAGGAATAGGAGCAAAAAAATATTCCCGGACTATTCTTAAATTTGAAAATAGAATATCAGACCTGTATACATGTCATTATAACCAAAGACGAACACATGAATTCTTTTCAGAGCGTACACATTGCAGCGTAATTTTAGCTGTGAACATGGCACATTTAATTGAAACATAACAATAACCTCCGTGGCCGAGTGGTATGTGTACGCCGTGTTTCATGGTGTCGTCGCCTATTCGAGAGTTCCCGGGTTCGAATCCCGGTGGGGGCAGATGTTTGTGCGATATTTACGAGAAATTGTACTCCAGTCGTGGGTATTTAATATGTATTTTCTATATAAATACACTTATATATGTATTCTATCCGTTCCGAAGTTATTTAGAAATTATTTTTGCCACTTATTTCCATTTGGTATATTGAGTGAATACATATTTCCGCCATATAACATTTGTGCAATAATTAGTAATGAAGTATGTACACCTTTTTAAATGGGTACATGTATACAAACATGTATTTGTAACTTTAAGGGTATACATCTTTTTGTAGTCGACAGTACTAGTAATTCTATAAATCCAGCGGGATTCGAACACAGGTCCCCTGAGAAGGCGTCACCTTGAAAACCACTCACACCACGGAGAGCGTCTACTTTCGACTTCATCTGACTTGCTGTGCCAGTTTTTTTTTATGTATAGGTCCGATAAATGAGTCCACCCCACCTGATGTTAAGTGACGATGAAGACCAGACGCGAAGATAGCTGACACAGCAGTTCTACCTGCCACACCAGCCATCCTCACCCTGCTGGCCTGCATGTTGCTTTTTCACGTCTTTTTAACCTTTCAGATTGGCATTTACCTGTATACATGTTTATACTACTATAAACTATGTATATCTAACTAGACGACCTCCATGGTCCAGTGGTTTGTATGCCGGGTTTCATGGTATCGCCGACTCGAGAGGCCCAGGTTCGAGTCCCGGTGGGGGCATATGTTTGTGTGATGAATACGAGCATTTGTACTCTAGTCATGGATGTTTCATATGTATTTCTATATAAATATACTTATATATGTACTGTTTATGTATTCTATCCGTTACCGTAGCATCCCATAACACAAGCCTTATAGTGCTTACTTTGGGGCTAGTCTAATTGGTGTTGGAAATATTTATTTATTATTATTTATTTATATTTATTTCTATGTATCGATTTAACAACGCACACATTGATGTCGAAGCCCAAGTTATCATATGCAGAGATTTAAATCTTTGATCTTAAGTCATTGGCTTCAATTGTGTAAGTTGATTGGTTGCGTAATTGATCCTGAGTGTAATGTATGTCTTATAGGTGTTATTAATTACTTTCAACCTTAATACTAAATCTTAAGAATGTGTTTTGTCTATAATACTAATATTTTATTATGAAGGTGTATCCACAACTCTTTTATAATAATTTGTTATAGTGTCATCCTTCCTTTTTCAATAAACCATTGTACAAGGCGAACCTATTTCATTACCGCAATTCAGAAATAATTCACTTAGATATTTATAATGCGTTTTCAAAGGTGATTATTGATTTCTCAATCCAATCTATAGGAATTCAATCAGAGTCATCATTGTCATTATCAGCCTATTAACGTCCCCACTGCAGGGGCACAGGCCTTCCCTAAGGATGGAATAGAGAGACTGTGCCGTGACCCACCACGCGGGCCGAGTGCGGATTGGTGGATGCTAACGACTGCAGATGCAGCCGGGGCGAACGGCTTAACGTGTCGTCTGAAGCATGGAGGAGCTCGAGATACTAAGTTTTTGGTCACCTGTCCAACGACTAACCATTGCGAAAGTTGCTTATCTTTCACGATCGCAGGCCGAATGCGTTAACCACTTGTGCCATCGAGCTCTTCATCAGATCAGAATCGGAGTATCGTTATTATTAAATACTAGCAAACCAGTGAACCAAATGTTCAACAAAACCTGATTTAAAAAAATGGTTGCCTGTAAAGTCGGTTTTACGGGCGAAGATTTTACGTGACAACGTCTTTTTCTCGGTAGAATATTTATTGATATGAATATAATTAAATTGCACAATAGGAACAAGGAATTGAATGAAAATAAGAATTGCACAAATTTTAACTATAGAAATATATTTTGTTTACTAAAACATTGTACATGTAAACTTAAACTTAACACGAGAGACTCATCGTAACGTTACCGAGCGTTACACTTTTTCATAAGTGACTCCCAGCCGCAACCTAATTTAAGACGTTGTCACGTCAAAAAATGTATTTAATTAATTGAGAACTTCGGAGATTTTGTGTGGTTTCGTTTGAAATTCGTGATTTCTCGAAAACCGGAAGTGCTACGTTACTCAAATCCGGTTTGTAGTCATATCAGACTATTCTTAACTTATAACTTAAATATTCTCTTTATCTATCTCTTACGGTTTGGCCGCTGAAACAACACCACAGACAGGCGGACGGACGGACGGACTTGTCTAATAGATAAGAGATTAGAAATACTCACTGTACAGCCTGGTGACAAAACAGATTTATATAATTAAGTCTCAATTCTCTCAGCCCTTTGTTGATGGAAACCTTAAACTGTTGTTTTTGCGTATTAAATGAACCTCGTCTTTGTTTAGTTAATGAGCACCCGCCTTATTACCAGATGTCACGCTATGTCATGTTGCTAAGTCAAACACGAGGACTATTAACTTACTTATTTAATGAGACCGTGATGTCCCCACCGCATGGCCGCCATCTTTATTAAATAAAGAAGTCCAAAATATTTGTAATGATTCGGGGTAAAACAGGAAAATATCTTTATATCCTTAAGAAATATACCCACTCACTTTTACCATAAAAGGAAGTAGGTATATATTCTTAAGGACATCATTAGTGAAGTAAAAAAATAATAGGTACATCATGTATTACGGCTGTTTTTTCCTCTGACGTCATCTATCCTTACGTTGCGATCAATCTTGATAATACTTACATCAGCAATTAATCTCGATACTTTCTCCAAAAATTATATTGACGAAGCAGGCATCAGAAGATGGTATCACACAACAGAAATTAAACAACACTTTTATTAAATCGTTTCCATCATAATAACAGTAAATATTAAGTATGTTAAACACAATCATAATATTCAGTTGGTGTTATAAATACATGACGTCTTAAATAACAATTAAAAAAACATTGTGTCATTTCTAATACTAACAAACAATTCACCTCCGATTATAGTTTTTTAGAGCACTGCTTTATTATAATGAACACTATATTATATGAGCGCAGCTCACGTCAAAGTGAATTTTATTCCAACTGGTCCTTGCAATTGCGATATCAATTTATTTACATCGGCACTTACTTGTATCACACGTCATTAACGTAAGCCTGTTAAAATGTCCCCACAGTTAGGGCACGGGCTTTCCCTACGTACACAATAACACTGTAAAAAATCACAAGTTCCACAGATAAGTTCCACAGATAAGTCCCACTTAAACATAAGTCGTTTGCAACTCAGTGTGAGAGCTGGCCCTCTGTGCAGTTGCACATTTGTTCCTTATCATGAGCCCGAAAGTGGTCCGGAATTGCCTTGACATGGAGCAATATAGTACGAAGTTGATAGCCCCATTGAGAAGGGCCAGGACGTCCATCAGCTCCCCAAAGAGGTTGTAGCATAACTTGAAGAAGCAACGTCCCAGAATCCCACTAAGAAGACCTGACAAAAAAGAAAATAAAAATTAGGAATATGTTAAAATGTTATTACAATCCATTGTCATTTTATCCATATCATAATCTGACATCTCACAATAGTCGTATGGATCTATACGACTATTCGCTATGTGCGAAGTACATGGTGGGGGTATAGTGAAGCGATCGCAGCGCTTATAGTGGCAGAAATACGCAACAATCCGGGAAAGTAAAGTCAATTTGTACGGAGTTCGTAATAAATAAATTTTTTAAAAAGCCTAATAATAGATGTTGTTGTGTTGTGAACTGCAAAAATAACGGCACAAATAGTCTGTGTTTATATTTCCTACATTGGACTGGAAATTAAATCAAAGAAATAAGTGGATAGATGCCATAAAAAGAAATAAGTAAGCGAAATAACCATAAATTATGATCAATTTTATTTGCGCTATATTTTATGTGATATTCATTATTTTCTTTATTATTTTAGTGTAGATGGGTCACCATGGTATCCCAAACCTGACGACACAATTTGTAGTGAACATTTTATGGGAAAAAAAATCAGACGAGGAAGAAAATCCGAGTTATGCTCCTTCGAATATTCCCTGAAATATATCGAAAGAGGAAGGTTAATGATTCACAGGTCCTAGCTAGATATACACACTTGACAAAACGATGAACCACAAAGTCTCAGATACCACATCAAGTCAAATAATAATTAAATCAAACTCAACCTTTTATGGTCGATCAAGTATGTCAAGTCAATATGTTTTCTGAATCGAAATTAAGAGATAAAATTTTTATTTGTATTAGATTAATTTACAACGATCACTGTGATGCTGAAATCCAAGCAGATATAGCAACATCAAGAATTTTAATGACAAATAATTTAAGAAATAAAGATAAAAGCTGTGGCACTGACAAAAAATCGTATGAGGATCAATCTACCGAAACAAAAAGTCAAGAATTTGTTGGTATTTCATCAATAAAAAATGATCAAGAACTCCTAGATCTTGCTGGTGTGTCATTTAGCAATTTTGAGTTTTTATTAACTATAAAAAAACTGTACAGTTTCCACTAAAGACCGACTTCTGATTTTTTTGATAACAATGAAAACTGGCTTGACATTTTCAGCATTGAGTGTGTTATTTGGTGTACACAAAACCACAATCTCACGTATATTTCATTCGATCTTACAAAATGTAGCTTGTTCAACTGCTAATTTAATCTTTTGGCGGAATAGAGCCACCGTACAAGCAACAATGCCCAAGTGTTTCAGTCCAGATTACATCAATACAAGAGTTATTATTGACTGTACTGAATTCCGAATTGAAATCCGACATTATTTAAATTATTATACAATATATAATAATTTTTATTTATCTTTACCTTACTATATTTACTAGAAATCAATAAAATACAAACTGATGTTATTATTTGGCATAATCCCGGAAAGTTGCGCATTGTAGGTGGCGCTACTGTCGTGCACATAGCGAATATATGACACTAGCTGTGCCCCGCGGTTTATTAGGGATTTTTTCCCGCAGTAAAACGTAGCCTATGTGTTATGTACATATATTATTTTCTGCTTCCAAAAATGTTTTTATTTGAAAACCGTATTTCATGTTATTTGATATTATTCGACTCTTTTAAAAAGAATGTTCACAACGACGACGATTTTAGACGTACCAGAAATGTCTAGGTATTGAATAACCAAGTATCTACTTAATGTTAACAAAACGCAATTCTGAGAAATCTTTTGGTCCCGTTATGAATACGAATCTTTTTATAGATCGCAGGTCGGTATATCAACTTCGACTTTCTGTATATTAATATAACATTTACTTAGACTAGCCCACACTTATGTACAAAGTCGTGAATAAGTTTCCATAAAGCAAATAGAACTTTCAATGTGTAATATTTATCTACCTTGTATATTGTAGTAGTGTAAAAGTGAGTAAAAATTACAAATTTATTATTTGGTAGACGTGAACTTCAGTCAAGTTATTATAGTCGAACTCCTACATAAATTATTAGATTTGCGAACAATATTATATTTCACTTATTTATGGGAAGGTCTCTAAAGCTGACTTTATAAATTAATTCTCGGAAATCATCTTTCAACTTGACGTATCTGACTAAAAATAAATAGTTGCTAAGCTTCTTGGTTGTTGATTCTTCTCAGTACAAACTCTCGCGCCGTAGAATTACGAACCGATGAGATGACGTATCTTTACGACTTTTCATAACGCGGTTGAAAGAATTTACCTAAACTGCATAAAATATTGAATTTGAATATTCACAAACAATAGAAGGAGATATGCAAACGAAAACAATCTTTTTCATTCCATTTTCGAAACAATTACATTATGATAATTAACAATAATGTTTTTGTAACACGCAAAGCTACAATTATGTATATCTTCAGAAAAACAACAATATACAGCAGAGCAACAAACTCACTTTTCATCGTGGAATTTGCAGGTGTGATTTGAAAATCGTGTTCTAATTTTAAATCAGCCCCCGGATTCCGAGGTGGAGAGTGAGTTTGTTCTCACAAAAAAGCACTGCAGGTTATGTACGAGTATGTCTAGATACATACAGTCGGGTGTCGGTTTTTATGGCACGCAACAAAGGGATTCAGCGCGGACGTCCGGCGGGTCAGTTCGCACGTCTCACGACGCATCAGTGGTACTGGAGTTGCAATTGAAAGTGGACGCGTGCTCGCAATTATTTTTTGCTCGTTTGATACTCTCGTTCGCCGAAATGGCTATTATGCACTAAGGAAACATTTAAATTTCTTGAGTAGTATTTAAGTAGAAAACTACCTGTGGAATTCGAAAAATAGCCAGCAGCCACCACCTTCTTCTTTTCTATTTCTGTTTAATAATTGTACAGCGATGCACCTTAAGTAGTAGTTAAAAGTACTGAATAAATAAATAATTGCGGCAGCAATGATCTTAACATATATTTTTTTTTAATTTTCTTTGCGTACGATTTGCATCTACCGAGATTGACCACAGACAATGACTTACAGACATCGTCAGACGTGTGGTCGGCTCGCGGTGAACCATTTGCTGATGCATCTGTCGCCGTTTCCGGACGCGACTGGCGTCGTGTAGAGGAGGAATTATAAAATTAAATGATATTTTTAACCATTCCCCTTGGTACTTTCCAATAATTTTGATACTTCGTGTTGACATCGATCGACCTGTAGTCGAGTGTGGGTGTATCAAAGGAATCACTTACATTAAGCTAACAACCAAACTTTGTAAGCCGCTTCTTAACAAAGTGGAAGTTACCAAATAAAATTCTCTTAACACGCGAAGGAGTATTAAACAAAGAGTAAATAACGTTAAGTACTCAACGCGCGAGAAACCTATTAAACTTTAAGTATAGAGTATTATTTTACAAGATCAGACACGTCTTTCCTATCCTCGAGTGGATAAGTAATTATCTGAAATAATTAGAATCGACGAGGTCTCGAAAAACACCGAAACCAGAGGCAACATAATATGAGTCGTTAATTTTGGACTGACCGGAAACCGATCGATTAAAATAATTGAACCTTTAATTAAATCACCACCAGCCCTATTAATTAGACTTCCCCTGTAGACAGAATGAAAGAAAGGCCCGATAGGCTACCACGTATACCTAGCGCGGATAATTTAAACAAAACATCGGGCATTAGCCTGAAAATTATTTTATGCTAGCTTATGGAGACTCGGTTTCGGATATTTTTTTATTGAAAAATAATTTGATATCTAGCTGTTAAATGCTTTAAATATAACTATAATAAACAGAAAAGTATGTTGTTAAATGAAATTACTTTAAATTTCTAAGTTTTACCCAGGATTTACAATGAATAATGCTAAGTGGAAGCAGGGGATTTATATAACTAACAGTATTTTAGTTTCGATTAATCTATTTTATTTCTTAAATGAATTGTGGTCCAAATTAAACGCTTCCTCACATTTTGACTCTGAACCCTGCGTCATAATACACAAAGATATGTTATGTACATATATGAAGTCAACCCACCTACAGAAAATCTTATTTGAAAATAATCCACTAGGTCCAGGTTTCAGACGGGATGCGAACTCGCAACTTCCACTATTCAGGAGGTCTCGGTAGCATAATTGGTTAGTGCGTCCGCACGAACAGCGGCAGACGTTTCGAATCCCGTCTGAAACCTGAACCTGATTTTTTTTCTAGTAATTTTTTCTTTAAATTTAAACGTCTAGGAGTTAAAGGCATTAAACAAAGGTATTAATAATCAACCCACCTAATATTCCTTGAGGGAACTCCGTCATCAAGAACAGCAGCAGAACAGCAACCAGCATCTTCGTCGTCCGATCCGTGCGCCTCTCCGCTTTAGACCTCTTTGTTGATTTCCTCGTGAAAATGTTCCTACCACCATTCACCACGGTCGTGGTCTGACAGGCGCTGTAACCCTTCAAAGCCTTTTTCCTATTATTCGCACGGTACAGCGCTTGTATCAACCAAGCGCTTATCAGTGTCAATATAACGCAAGGCAACAGTTTTATAAGAACAGCGTGCACCCAGAAATTGACTTGGTACAATGTACCGTTGTGATCCGAGTCCACGTAGTAGACTTTCACTGGTGTCGTGTTGTTCAGGTCTTTGTCGACGGTGAACACTTTGTGGATTGTGAAAACCTGTGGGTGATGATAAATTGTATTAATAAACATTATCTATTTGTCACGCTGGATTAGGAGCGAAAGATAAACGTAAAATACGCCAATTAGTAAGTTTATAGTGTTAAGAGCATAAAACAACCGTATCAACATATTTGCTCAAAAAATGCATTTACGGAGGTTGTATAGGTACATTTTTCGAAAGTTCAAAATTAAGAGCCGTACAGCGGAACGTGCGGTAAAACGTTTTACCGCATGCTCCCATATACAGCACCGTGCGCATTCTTTACGGTTTTTTTATTTCGACCAGCCTCCTTGGAAGCACTTTCAATCGATTATTCGATCGACTTTAATATTAAAGAAAAGAGAAGAAAGATGTATGTAGGTTTAATTTTCACCACCTGCACGTGGCGCAAACTACATGAGTGAGACTACATTCGTCGTTTCTAATAACCAACTTAACGCACTAATATCATAAATAATTACATATTATCGAACCGGGTACATTAAAAACCTGTTGTTTTCGTATCACAGTACCTATAATTTGAAAAAACGTTAACGACAGTGTAAAGGACTCTCGCTTATTATACCTAATTCTTTACTAACCCTCCACTTTTGATTGAAATTAATCCACAAATTACAAATGGCATTGATAAAGTTCGTAAAAATATATGTCGTAGGATCATTTGATAAATCGAATCCTGGGGAATTCTCTACATCACAACACAACGCAACCCGTCATCAACTTTTAATGTAATGACAAATAGAGAGCGAATAAAAAAAGAAAAATACACGAACGGTTCTGAAAATATTTAGATCTTTTTAACCTGTCAACTTCACCTTAATTCATACTGAAAATGATATATAAAGAATCCCGAATTTTTCACCTTGCAACGTCCTTAATGTCCTTGTGACCTACCCATCCGAAAAGCTTCATTCAACTTGAGGTAATTGACAAAGATTTTAATTTCAGAGTGGGCAAGTATATTTTGGGTTAAGAGTAAACATCTGTTTCCGGTTTCATTCATTTTACCTGATTTACGACAAATTACAAAGAAACAAGGAAATGGCGACTGCTTCGTAAAAAGTGTAGCCCAAAAAATTGAGTTTCCTAAATAGCAGTGGATAAAACTTAATAAGGTAGGTATTCTAACTAATGACAGAAAAATGAGAACGTCAAAAGTTATTTAGTCATTCTTTGAGCGTAAAGCAATGTACATTAACAAAAACAATAAATTACTATTCATATTGCATGAATTAATTCTCCATAATTCCTATTTTGTTAATGTGCATTCTACAACTGTGATCGAAATGTTGATGATAAAATTTAGTATGCACATCGTACGTAGTTTAGACTTAGCTATTATAGTCCGGCTGAACACACATTAGGTGTTTAGTTTACAGTTGATATGCCAAGTCAATTTACTAATGTGAACGATATTATAGTCCAGGTGCCGTGAGAAACAATCACAGAAGAAAGTAACAGATTTTATAGAGAAATCAAAAGGATCTTTGGGTCGTACAAAGCCTCAAAGTGCACGCTACAAATTAAGATTGAAGAAAGCACACGGCAAGAAACATTGAGACATTCACGGCAACTATGCCGTATGTGGTTGGCAGAGTCAAAGTAAATAAGTCGAGTATTCGGGTAGTTTTCGTTTTGGTTAACCGACATCGTCTTCCAGCCCGTATACCAGTGTAAATATTGCTTTAGGTGTCCGAATTCAAGTGATGTCTTTCGTGCACCCGAATACGAGCTAACGACTAAGTTTAATTGAGCCATAATAAATATTACTTGCATAGCCACACGTTCAAAACAGACCTATCCGGATATATAGTAGTAGGTTGCCAAGCCTACAAGCTTCCGTGTTGCCCTGTTTAATGATAATATGTAATTTATGTTGTTAACGGTGTTGCTACCATGTACGAATAACTGCCTTACTGAATTTAGCGTATTTCTGCAGTGTTGCGAGCGCCATGATCACGGCGTTAGAATATCGGAGACTCGCTAAAAAGAAGGTACATCCGTATTTCCGTAAATACATACACATATAATGTTAGTGACTACAGAACACAGAAAGATGTTAGGAGGGCCTTGTGGATGGGGCAAGCGCGCCAAAGACATGTTTGAGCAAATGCTCATATCTTGATCAAAACGTTGTTCTGATTGCGTCGTTGCTCTCTTGTGTGAGCGCTGATTGCTTCGATAGTTTGATGTCGCGTCGTTTGATTCGCTATTGTCTATTAGGTGGAAGTGTAGTTGGGTCTAGCTGGCGACATCGGTTCCCGTACAAACGGTTTATGATATCCCAACCTTTTTCTGTATTCTGTGTTAGTGACCATGAAAATTTAAAACATTTACTATCTTCTCGAAATAGCAGCTGGCGGATTTTACGGTAGCACAAAAAACATCGAAAAGGAGATTTTAAAATAAATAGTTTAAGCTAAACTTACGAAATAAGAAGGTATGCATAATACTGGTGAGAGCATAAAGCTTGCCAATATGGCGGCCGAGCAACGCCGGTCGGTACATAAAGACGCGCTGTGCGATGGATACCTGTAAACAAAAGCTTTATTTTAGTGCATTCCTGACTTCTAGGGGATAATATGTGAGGATAGCAGCAGCGGGCGCGAGTGAAAAAAAAAAGCGAGTGTGCTTATGACCACACGACTGAAGTGAAACTTCTTTACCTGACAATCATAAACTTAACCTGAAGATTTGTGAATAGAAAAAAAATACCAATCCGCGCTGGGTCCGTTATCACCCACCCACCAAGCACTAGATTCAAGTATTTTGTGACGGGTATTAATAATTGTTTACCGATGAGTCACCGGTGACACTACTTAATCGTATCGCTAAAATCGTAACACATTCGCCAGTTTACCCCCCAAGTCAAACGTTTCACTCCAAAAAGAACGATTCAAAAAGTTAGTGCAGGTCGTGGCACAGTCATAGAGCAACACAGCCGACGCGGCCAGGAGGGGAGTGGGCATGCACAGGTTTTCCCTATGTCAAATTTGGCATACCAACGATCTATGAGTGCAGCATTTGGCGGCGTATTGTGTCATTGTCTATGTATGTATGGGTGTCGTAATAACAATTTCGTTTTTTGCGCATTGTACGTTAAACTATGCATTGTTTTGTGTGCATATTCCCAATAAATGATAGAATGATTTGAGTAGTCTTTTGCTCTATGTCTGGCATATGCTCTATGTTCGGCACAGTTAACGAAAGGATGACGTAGGCACTCGGGGAGCGGTGCTGAGGGCAATAGGCCGCGCACTTAGCTCCCAGCGCGGGCAGTCCAGGACAGGTCTGCTTGATCACCCGAGATACCCCGAGTGATCTCTGCCGTGGAGCCCCGATTAGGCCGGGAGGCTGTTGGGTGCGGAGACGCGGTGAAATTCCACAAAGGGGACCTCGCGGTTCCTCACTTAACAGCGTAGAGGGTAATCGCAGGGACTTTTAGCGGATAGTATGCCGCAAGTGCTCTTAAGGCGCGCGGACTGCTTAACGACTTTTCCGTTTCACACCCGTGAGACTTGAGAAAAGCTAGGTGTGAGGTCCGTTCGTTAGTGTGGGTGTCCCCTTGGGTGGTTGGGTGGCATGTTACTCCAGCTGAAACCCTAGAATAATAAGTTCAGCTACAACCTTGGTAAATTAACACGCCTTACTTCTCATATTTTAGTTCGCACTATACCTTGCTAGGGTAGACTCCAATTACTTTGCCCCCACCCCCATAATGATTAGCCCTCTTGCATTTACACTAAAATATAAAAAAAAATATAAATAAAATACTGAACACAAATTTTATTATTATACTTTGATGGCAATTCTTCAATCTACTCTACTGAAGATACTGGCCCTCTACAAAGGGCATTTGTTTTGAAAAAAACAAAGTCTGATAGTCGACAGGTTAGTACGAAAAGGCAGCCATTTTATTGAAGTCAATAAGGGATAGTTGTTTTTATACACGGTATTATCTAACTCAATGTTTAATTTTTTAAGTTAAATGTACCCAGGGCATAGATGAAATTGTTTATTAACCAAAAATGTTTAGATCATTTATTGACATTATATTTTTATAGTACTGACGATGCTATGCTGAAGTCATAATAATAACAATTTAAATATTTTTATCAGAATACATTTATCAATGTGTTTATTTTAATGAGGTTTAATTAAAAGTGCAATCTGGCTTGAATAAATAAAATAAAAACGTAGGATTGTTTCGTTCCAAATTGTTGCTCTATTATTACCTAATCGAGCCTCTTCTGCGCATTTTGCTAAAAATAGGAAATGATAGCACAACAACAAAGGGGTAAACTGGGTAAACAACAAGAATGATTAACTTCTGTGGGGTAAATGATGCAACCACGATTCTATTTTCAAACAACCCGGATTGTCCTATAATTATATATGCAGGTTGTTTACCCGTAACAACCCGTTATCAAATGCTCAGGGGCTAAACGTGACCCACATTTCAACCAAAATAAATAGATTTATCCGATGTCGATTGAATAAATTACGGATATGTCAATTTGACTAATTGTCAATTGCGTATCGTTTAAGATAAAGTTATGTATTTCATGTCCGGGTGGGCATTACCAGGGCAACACCGATATGGTATTTTTATAATTTATATACATAAGAAAACTTTTTAGTAAACCTTGAAAAATCATTTAATAATTGTTTAAAATTAAATAGCCATGTAGGCTTCTAAATGCGGTTAAGGGTAAATTGCCAGAAAACAAGAGAGAGACGGCAGTACAAAATCGTGACTTAAGCGCCGTAAACACCACAAGAGTGTGAAAGATAGCTAGCTAGCTGCTCCCACTGCCAATATTTGTTCTAGTTGTATTTAAAATTCTAAATGCTGCCCTTTTTTACTTCTTTTGTAGCTCTTTTATTCTGTGCTTTTATTTTTGCAACTTGTAGAATATGTTATTCGGCTCAAGGCAAATCCAGTTCTATTAAGTCAGTAAAAATCTGCAGCCTGATGGAAGAGTATGCATTGAGCATATTCCATCCTCCTCCCCCACTTCCCGGATTTCCAAATCAAATAGGTACTTGATTTTTCATACAACGGTTACATGAGTATTAAAAGGGGCTGACTATATTTGTCAAAGGACCAATGAGCGTTGGAGCAGACAAGTTCTTTAGTGAAGACCGCTTACCGGCAAACGAGGTGTAGGACATCCCCCAGCTAGATGGACTGGCGATTTGAAGAGGGCAGCTGGGTCAGACTGGATGCGGAAGGCGGAGAACCGGGTGATGTGGCGCGGTGAATTGGGTGGCAGTGGACTACGATAGGCTGAGTTGATAAAAGGCTTTCTTACCTCGTGCGTAAAAAAAACTTACTTGATAGCCAAATACCGCCATACAGCGAGAGACAGAGTGAGCAGTATGGAAGCTGTGTGGAGAATCTGCGTGAAGTGCATGTGGAAGAGCGTGTACACCGCCCAGGAGTGCAGCCACTCCTGCTGGCCTGGTAGCAGCTGTTGGCAAACACAAAGCAAATGTAAAAATGTAAAAAGATGTGTCTAGAATTATAGTTCCACAAATCAAAGGTTAGATGGCATTGTAGTTGTATAAATCGCGCTATGGATTAGAGAACCGAGAGTATCTATACTATCAAGGAATGTTTACATGAATGATCAATAGATGGTGCTGTAATTTTTCCAATCCAATCGTGGTAACGTTTAATACTTGGTAAAACTATAATAGTAACCCTAATAAGTACAATAAACCGAGAGTTCTCAAAAGCAGTTACATTGAGTTGTATTTACACACATCGAACGAGTGAATATATGTGATATGTGATGCCCCGCCCCACGTTGGGCAATGTTTTACAAGCATCATCATCATCAACCTATTAATGTCCCCACTGCTGGGGCAAAGGCCTTCCCTATGAATGGAATAGAGAGATTGGGCCATGACCCACCACGCGGGTCCAGTGCGGATTGGTGGGTGCAAACAGGCGCACAGTATAAACAAAAAAACGATGCTATATCTCAATAGCCCAGATCCACAAAAATATAGAAAAATCTTCTTATCAAAAAAGTTCGCGTTCCTTCTGTTCGTTTAAAGAATTTTCGTAATCTTATTACCTTCCCTACTTTGAGGCCCGGACCAACGTAATTATATTTGAAATCCTATTTTACCCGTGACATGGTAATGACACAAGATGGCAGGAAAACTCCATATTTATTATAAGTCCATTGGCAAAATTGGTGTGGCAAAAAAATATAGAAATATTTACACGAAACATTGTTTTTTTATTGTATTAAGTCCACTTTCATTTTTACCAAAGTTCTTAATTCAAATTTAAAAACAAATCCTTTTCAAACCCGATTCTATCTCCATTTAACTTTATAGTAATTTATGCCAATAACGGGATTGCTATCATGTACCTTGTTTTCTGAGAGGCCCCCGATATATCTACACTGTTAATACGTGATCATGGCACACTTGCAACGTAGTAGAATTATCGGGACCCCTCCCCCCTAGAATTAGTAAATCAAAATATAGGTCGGTAACAATTGCCTGAATATAGCTTTCTTACAGCCTACCGCGTTAGGGTAAATACACCCCTGGCGGACTCGTAAAAACAGATTATATTCTGATTAAATATTAAAAAAAGAGACGTGAAGAAGCAACATGGAGGCCCGCAAGGTGAGGTTGGCTGGTGTGGCAGGTAGAACTGCTGTACCAGCTATCTTCACGTCTGGACTTCAACATCACTTAACATCAGGTGGGGTGGAGTCATTTGTCGGACCTATCTATAAAAAATAAAAAAATAATAAAACCTACTACAAAATGAATAATCCATTTTGAACATTATGTTTTAAAATCAAATCATATAGCGCGCGCTTTCGTGACTTCCTGTTACACACTTCCGTCCCATTTCACGAAATCACTCACACAATTTGCAGGAAATCGAGAGGAAAGATGTTACACATCAAAAATTACCTCAGTTAGTTACTCACCAGGTATCTGTAAATGGAGAATGGCACGTATTCCATCATAACGAAAACGTCAGCGACGGCCAGCCATTTCAGTAATCGGTTGATGGGCACTGACGCCAAGTCTCGCCGAGTCAGCACGGCTACGTTCAACGCATTCGCTAAACTACCGAAGAGACACACCTGCAAAGTTAATGCTTCTCATATTATCATACTCAAAAGCAATCCACATTTTTCACTTGTTAAAATATCACGGCCCACTTGCATCAAAAGGATAATGTTAAAATTGGCCTAAGAACCAACACCAATTTGGCATTTATGATAATTCTTAGTATATTTTTTGCGATAATTATCAGTATTTAGATTGTGACGGACACTTCCAGTTAAGTAAGCTAAATTAAAAAGTTAAAAAATAATCTGAGACAATAAATATCATTTTATGTGTATAATCTATGGCAGCGCTGCAAACAAAACACTCTTTCTTCCTAATGCCGGCACTTCACTTGGCTATTCGTATTTGCTATTTTAAAACATGACATCAGTCTGTCCTTTTCATTCCTTATTAAGCATGACAAGGACAAAAAGTTGTCAAGTGAAGGGCCGGCATAAAACTGTTACTCTGTGGTTGTGGTGCATGCAGTTTGCATTCGTAGTAATCTGTGGCATTCGTGCATTCCAAAGAGTAGTATTATATACCGGAAAGTGCGTTCCTGTGGTGCGTTCTCGTTTCGGATTACCGGTTGTGTGTGTTTATTTGCGATTGTTTTTCCTTTAATTTAACTATTTCGGCTATCTAATATGCCATCGATGTTACCAAAGAGCAGAGCCCTTATTACCAAGTGCTAGTGAACCTGTGCCACAACAGCCTGAGAGGATCATACTGCCAAATTATTCAAGAACAAATGATACACATTCACGCTGCATATTTACACAATATGTGATATACAAATAAATACAATAAACAATATGATACAATTATGTGAAAAATAGTCAATAAATAAGAAGCAAAACTACAGTTTTTAGTTTATTCATGATTCCTACCTAACCAAGTTTAAAACCTAATAGTTATTCTTTAAAATCACACCGAATAAAATGAATTAGTTGTAATATTAATTCACTTAATACTGAGTTTATACTAAATTCAGGGGTGGACCTATGTTTCATTGATATTAAACATAACCTCAAAAAAAATTAATTTTCCTAATAATTTAAGTTCTCAAAAGTGTCCGTCAATAATCTTTGTTTTTACAGTCATTTACTTACGATTTTGAACCTAGAAAATAATATTTCATGATTGTTGGTTCTTAGGCTAACTATGTATGGACGCTGAACAATGTCCTTTCAAAGCTAAACATTTTGACGACCTCCGTGGCGGAGTGGTTTGTACGCCGGGTTTTATGGTGTCCCCAACTCGAGAGGTCCCGAGTTTGAATCCCGGTGGTACCAGATGTTTGTGTGGTAAATATGAGCATTTGTACTCCAGTCATGGATGATTAATATATTTCTATATAAATAAACTTATATATGTAACGGTATATGTATTGTATCCGTTACGCTAGTATCCCATAACACAAGGCTACAGTGCTTACTTTGGGGCTAGGCTAATTGGCGTGAGTGTTGGAAATATTTGATTTTGAATTTAATTAGTTTTTAAACCTGAAGGTCATAACAGAGTTATCAACCCCGAAAAGGATCATCACCGTATCTAATCGAGAGTATTATTTGTATACTGTAACGCACGCTAATAGAAATCGTAACGCCTCGCCTTGAGACACGAACTTTTCCGAGTTGATACAGAGTTGATGTCTGTTACTACGGAGTTGAAGTCTGTTACTACGGAGTTGATGTCTGCTACGGCTACAAAGGTTCTATCTCTATTTGACTTCTAATGATTGAAAAAGATAGAATCAAACATGTAATTGGAACATGGAATGAATAGGGATGATGACTATTTTTTTTTCTTCGTTTATCAGGTAGATTATCAAAAAGTATTGGACACGTATTTTTTCTTTTTTCACATAATAGAAACATTGCAGAGATATATTGATTTGAAAAGTCGCATGACGTCACGTTTGAGTACACTTATAAGTGAAAATTCACTCAAAAGTGAAGTCACGAGCCCCTACTCCCAAACTTTGACGCGCTATAACTTTGTCATTTTTTGGTTGATTGCCCAAAGAAAAAATACGTGTCCATTATTTTTTGATCATCTAACTGACGGACTAAATAGAATTTCGTTTAATGTACCCCGTCATCACCCCTATTGAATCAAACAGTATTAAGCCTAATTTGTCTTATGAATGTTGGTGCAATTGGTCCCGTAATTATCTACATAAACCTTTAATTGTTCTCTACGCCTACGCTCCGCAATTCCTATACGATATTTTTAACAGGATTAGGCAGGGATACAACGGAGATGGCATTTCAGATCTGAATATAAATACGGATAAAAAAACCTGATCTGAAATGAACCATCCACTACGTCTAAAATTAATTTGATGGGCAGCAGCACTTATATCTTTATATTTCTTGTATGATGAAAAAGAGAGACTGTTTTCTATTCTTAATAATGCAAATCAATAAAAAAATATCTAGCATCAGTCGTGATTTAAAAACGGTTCAGAACCTAAAACATCAAAAGAAGATTTTTATCTTATTAAAAAAATAAAATATTATAGGAATATCAAATATTAAAACAAGATATGCAATCTCTTTTACCTGCTACGAAATTAACTGAAATACCAACTTGTATAAAAGTAACTAATAAGTCTTACTTTGATCTAGATGTTTGACATTTTGCCATGCTGAGATAATACCGGCACATTGCTTGGCTATCCGCATTTGCTATTTGTATACTTGACATATAAATAAAACAGTTTTTTACGGGTTATATGCATTGAATTTATTGATTTATTGACGTTTCGCATCCTTTTCAGGAATTCCGATGATGCATTCCTGAAAAGGATGCGAAACGTTAATAAATAAATAAATTCAGTGCATATAACCCGTAAAAACTGTTTTAAAACCTAAGAAAGAAATATACTTGACATTGACATATAATTTATGAAAATGAATGACTGATGTCAAGTTTACAAATAGCAAACACGAATAGCCAAGTGAAGTGCCGGCGTAAGGATTTCATCTTTGTATGAATTTCGCTCGCTAAAATCGAAATCTATTAACGATCGAAATTAATTAACTAAAGAGTAGATTCAAAAAAACTTTGTAAACGACTTTTTTTTGGACCTGTAGATAAATAAACAGCCAAACATACATAATATTAGTAGATAGTACGTTACTGTCTGATAATAAAATTATAATGCTTCTTTAACAAAAACAGGTTTTTACCTTCTTTTCACTGGCTTTTTTAAGAAAAGCAATATTATTTTATTTATTTTTAAGCATTTAACTGCTAGTTGTTTAAATGTAAAGAAAATTTTACTAGAAGCAATATTATTGCTCCGAAAAATATGGTAGACAAGCTTTGCATTCATTAGTTTACAATGTTTATTTAAACTAAAAGCTATTTTGACCTCATGTTCTTTGATTAAAAATGCTCAAAGCTGAATTGAAGCTTTTATTTGGTTTGCGATGCTAATGGAATCATAATACTTTTGTGGATTTACAATGATATTAGTAAATCTACCAAGGTTTTGACCACAAATGACCGCACCTGATCTTAAATTGTGATAGAGTCCAGACGTATATATTTCAAACCTTAGTTTGGAAATATTAGCAAGAATTGAGTAATAAACTCAATAAATCTAATTTTACCAATTTTAATTATCTATAGGTATTACCATCATACCTAATAGCCGTACAAATTGTTTTTAAAAATGGTTTTGAAAAAGTTATTGTGACAAATATTTAATGCAACGTGTAATTTTCAAAAATTTCTGACCTTTTTTGATATCTAAACTAACAAATGAAATTGTTATTTTATTAAATTATCATTTTCTTTGAATCAAAGCATTTTAGCCGCAACTTTTAATATAACATATTATCTATCGAATAATTAATTTATAGGCTTTCACAAAATTGTTGCTGTTCATTTTTCATTACAAGTCGCAGTTACAGAGCTTCCCTTTCAAACTAGATATTCAAAATATTTATCGGGCATAATAAATATAGCGTAGGTGGATATCGCGTATAGCCTGCGATCGTGGAAATTAGGCAACTTTCGCAATGGTTTGCGATGACCGCATCGCAAACCAAAAACTTATTATCTCCAGCTCCTCCTCCTTTTTCTTGAGTGTGGTCGCAGATGACCTTTACTGCTTCACCGGGTTTGGGTCAGCGAAATCCTAAGGGGACCTCAAGCCGAGAATTGGCGAGTGCTTTTAGAGATATTCTAGGCGGATGGCATCTCCCCACGGGAGGAGTCTCCTCTCCGTCTGGAGCCTCTAGACCACTCGAATCTGAGAAGGGTTAGGTCAACTAGGGCCCAATTGTAAGACAACTAGGCGGTGGTCGGATGAGAGTTCATGGACCGTTTCTATCGAACGCAGCCTAAGGGCTACGTTCTTTAGTAAAGCCATGTGTAGGGGATTAGCTGTATGCCTAGCTTGGGAAGGGAAGTGGGTGGGTGTTAGGGGTCTATGATGTCAAACACAATAGCGTCAGAGAAGTTGGAAAGCAACCTGCCGTTACGGTTGGTTGTGTTACAACTCCACTGCACGTGCTTGCTATTGAGGTCGCCGGCAATAATGACGGCATCGTCCATAGCAAACAGGGCCTCTAGGTTTGGTTATGTGAGGTTTTTGTTGGGGGACAGGTAAGGTGACGCAATCGTGACCGATCGATGCCTGGTCATGCCCAGCCGACAGACGGAGACTTCTAAATCAGTCAGAGTGGGTGACTAGTCCCTAGCGGGGATCAATGGACAGACCGCTTGTAGTAGATGAGAGTGCCACCGCCGCGGCCGTCTCTATCGTTCCGGTTCAAGTTATAATTGACAATGCGGCACGATTAGACGGTTTCAAAAACGTTTCTTAAATTAAAAATATATCTATCACGTCAGCTACTAAAAATTTTACAATTTCCGCACACTGACTGGAGAGACCGTTATCTTCTATGTGAGGGACCGCTGGTTGATCTTTGAGGACGCCATTAAGAAGAGGGGATGGTGAGCGGGCGGATAGCGGTGATGAGTGCATGGTATTCGACACGAGTAATCATATCGATGTTACCCGTAGCTTCCCTGAATTTGGTTCCTAGAGCCTCGAGCTCCACGATCTTGATCGTGAGATCCGCGTCAGAATCGTCAGCGCCAAGGGCCATCGCGTTGCCTGAAGCAGTAGGAGCGGATGCGGTTGGGAAGGCAAGTTAGGTGGGTTGAGCCATCGGCGGCTTAGAGAGCCCTTGAGGAGGGTTCTTATTAGGGACCGCGGGGGAGGCCGTCGGTGGCTGAGAAGCAACCACCTTCCGAAATGCGAGACTGATGTTAAATTTAGTTTTAAATTTAGAAAATCACGCCAGAATCGTCACCAATATATAACTCAATCACATAATATAGATATTTCTTACTCCGTTACTTTGAGTGACTACATTATGGCACTAAAAACTCAGCAATCACAAACACTGTCCAATTATGATCAATGAAGTTTATACTGCATCTTTATCACTCAATCTGTACGTTATTTATTCAGTTCTCATTCTTCACTCGATATCAACTTTGACATTACGTAAATATTTATCATAATATAACAGTAACACTTACCACAAGGCTGACATAGCCGTGGATGTTGTTGTAAGCCAGAATTAGCTCCCGGAATCCGCCGGAGCAGTACTTATCGCATTCGTTGTGTGCCGTAATGTTGTTGTATTCTGTCCTCCAGTTTTCTAGGGCTTTTAATACTTCTCCGAAGCTGGCGCTCTGGTTGTGGCCTCTGTGCTTGAGTAAAGAGAAGAAACTTGTCTCGTCGAATGGTTGAGAGTAGTTAGTGGGTCGGATGTCGTCGTCCGCAAGCATTGTGAATGTGGATTACGTCACGGTGACCAGACCCTTTGTTCGTCACTTAGCGCGTCTCATGTCCGCGGCCGTCGCGTCACGAATATGGAGCCGGAATGTGCGATTGTTGCGTACCTCTGCATTTTGTCGATCTATAACAAAGGATATGAATAAAACTTAAAGGTGGTTTTTGATTGTGTTTTGTTTCTGTTGGTGAGTAAGGTTCCAGAGTTTCATGTAGGGGATTGGGTTTAAGGCAGTACAGTTAGTATTACTCGATGTGCACGCTTTATTGTTGCATTAGCTGTCGTCGTGTCTGGACTTAACCAAACTAGACTAGACTACCAGCTGGGGCAGAATAATTGCCTGCACCTTGTATAAAATAGTTATTATTTTTTGCAAAATAAATAACGGGAAAATTTAAGCACAATTCTATAGACCCTCGCGATATTAAAAGGTATCACTCACTCACCTAGTAGAGCTCTGGCAACAATACTCTGTACTGTTTTTCACAAAAAACAAATCATTTGTTTTCGATCACTTTGTTAAAGAGCTCGCTTTCCATGAGATGAAATTACAATAATTTGGAGGGAATGAAAACTATCCGTTCGACTTGAACACAGTTTTTACCATTTGTTAGCAATTGCTTAGAGAAATCTTCTGTAGATTGATCAGCAATATAACTCTCATATTTACTGCGGGCTCAAAAAAAATTAGATTGTGCTATTTCGATTATTAGAGGCACATTCGATTATAAGAGGCAAGCCCTTATTTCAATCGCATTAGTCAATCTTGGAAGAACTGTCACTGTTTGGCGAAAATCTCTAGACAGTTAAATCATTGCGCCCCTGCAAATGGCCGTGCAATATGGCCGTTATTCCAAAAGAAGCAACTCCTCCCCCTATTTTCACATGAAAATTGTACAATTTCAATAGATGAATAATGTCTTCCAACAACGCGGTCTAGGTTAAATCAGACTTACAAAAAAACTGTCAACTCAATTCAGTCAAAGCCCGTTAGGTTTTGGTGTGTTTATGTATTACCTATAGACATACAAACTTTGGCTAGTTGTTATTACTAGAATTTCATGATGGAAAATATAATCACTTGTAGATAAGTTTTCAATCATGCACACAAAAATAGGTCTGAATGTAATGATTAGTAAGACTTAATGATTTTTTTTTAGATAGGCCTGACGAATGACTCCACCCCACCTGATCTTAAGTGATGGTGAAGTCCAGACGTGAAGATAGCTGGTACAGCAGTTCTACCTGCCACACCAGCCATCCTCACCTTGCCGGCCTGCATATTGCTTCTTCACGCCTCTTTTAAAGGATCCCAGGTTGTAAGAAAGGAGGGAACACGTGAGCAGGCAGTGCATTCCATTACGAATAGTGCAACGAAGATATAAGTCACCAAATTTCTTTATTCGCGTTGGAATTGTGGCCACAGTTAAACGGTGACACCGAAGGCCAGCGCGCGTGGTCCTTTGAAGGAAAGGGAAAGGTGGAATAAGAGAAAATCGAGTGTTCTGAAGATAACTCTTCACTCTGCCGTGGTACAGACAATAGAACGCGCTTAGTGACGCCACGTCACGGTGTAATTGAAGAGGCTCGAGGTGTTTAGTCATCTCCTCATCGCCTATGATGCGGATCGCACGCCGCAGTAACCTATCCAAAGCAACGAGCAAGTACTTGGCGGAGCCATCCCAGAGGTGCGAGCAATATTCCACGCAAAACCGCACCTGCGTTTTATACAACAAGCACAGTTAATTCTTTGGATTTAAGTCACTGCGAATTACCATACCGAGCATGGTATTAGCTCTCTGCTCTCTAGCTCCTGTGTTGTGCCCGAAGAAAAGGACATGAAAGGAATATCGATGTTTTTACCGTGAAAGCGCAGACCTGGGTTTTCTTAGCATTGAACTTAACCAAGTTCTTGGTACCCCATTCAGAAATGTGGTCCAAAGCCTGATTGAGTTCAATGACAAGATTCTCCCGCTTTTCATTGGTTACCGCCTGTCCAGCCGCTACTTATCTGAGATACCCCACATGCACTGTACTATCGTCTGCATAGCAATAAATGTTCCCAACCTTTATGATAATCAACTGTTTCTGATCCGAAACACAAACAGATTTAACATCTTCCCGTTCTAAGAATCTATTTATCTGTAATACAATGTTATCCCCATTAATTCGTTACATTTACTCCATCTGAAACATCGTAGTGCGTAAATCCTAATCCATTTTCACATGAAACATGAATAAACATCTCATCGCACGTAACCGATTCTGAAAAAACGTTTACATTCGTGTTTTAATAATAAATCGACGGAGGTATAGGCACAAATAAATAGCACAGAAGGTAGAATAGATAGAAGATAGAGATAAAATAGAGCAACGCACACATCCGCTTACGGACACGATATCTCGGGCCAGTTGAGACGACTGCGAGCGCAAGTTCTATTCGCTTGAGATATGCTTCTGTTGACTTTTTACCCGACTGCACACGCAAGCAGCGCAAAGCGCAACGCGCAGACAAGATATTGTGTTTAACAGTCTATTAATGTATGTATGTTATTTTGTGGCACACTAGTGACCAAACGCGTGGAACGACTTTGATGATTTGTACGTCAATAGATTCGTCTTATTTGTGCAAATATAGAGCAACAAAAACGTTATTATATCTGTTCGGTAGACGGTTTAGTTATATTTTTTATTTTTAAGTATTTAACTGCTAGATGTTTAAATGTAATAAAAATACTAGAAAAAATATCACGCAGACCAGGACGAGTCTCGAACCCGCACCCTTCGCTATCCGGGCGTATGCACTGATCTTTTTGCTACCGCGGTCCTGATGGCCGTGTCGAATTTTCTCTAGTGTTTCTTAAGCTGCAAGGCAGCGCCATCTCTTCGCATTGTAGGTAACCCACAATGTCAAATGAATACCTTTATTAATTATTAATCATTTGAAAGAAGAAATAGCAATAATAGTTATATTTTTTATATTGAAGCATATAACTGCGAGATATTTAAATCTAAAGAAAAAAATTCAGTAGACGATTGTTTAAATTCCTCATTAATTGTCATGAATTGTCCTTTTTAATTTAAAATTAAACCAAAACATTAATATTTAAATACACATGTTATTCATTATTAGTATAGGTATAATTCCGTTCTTTCTGTTTCATTCTGGACAATAAATCAAACAACTAGTGCCAGTACCACGTCATTTTTTTATGCATAAGCCAAAGTTAACAATCCTAGCGCGACCGCCGAGCATGTGTATGAAAAGTGTAGTACATACATAAGAGTACCTTCTGCACTCTCTATTTTGTGGTAATAAAGTAACACGAGGTAATAAAAGTTAGTTGACCATTTGTCAAATTATTTTGCGTTCTCATTAGTTTTGTTGCTTTTTCTTGGTCTGAGCTTCTCCCATACCTGCGCGATGAAGCTTTGGATGGCTTTGGACTAAATGCGCTTAAATTAGCGTTCGAAATTTGTATTAGTTCTGTCATAAAATCATAAAGCAATAAGTCTTATAAAAATGTTCAGTACAAATTTTTAACAAAGAATTCTTGAAAGAAAGTATGCTTTGTCAGCCTCTTCTTCAAGGGTTTACAATTACGTATAAAGTAATTATAAATAATGACGCTTGACTGGTGATTTTTGACACGCTTAAAGTCAATAACTCAGAATCAGCATCAGATTTTTTTTTTATTTTTGAGAAGCGAATGGCGGAATAAACTGAAATTGAAGGCCATCGCTGCTTGCAAAATCAGAAATTTCATTACTATTCTTTTTTAAGAACAATCGTAACTCCTTCTCAGCACCCTCGAAATTACCGTTGTCTAAGTATATGATATTAAGTTTACCTCTTAGACTAATAAAACGTTTCAATGCTAAGATGTAGTCTTTAGAAGTCAGCGTAGTGACAAGTTCCAAATGTATGGCCCGTGTAGTGAAACATATAAATAAACAAATATACGCCTTGGACAGACGAGACCCTCTCCCATTTCTATTTAAATATTAACTGGTCCAGCATAATCCACATCGGTCTTAATAAACGAAAAACCAGGGTCGATACAATCACTAGGTAGGTTGCCCATGATAAGACTTAGACGTAGTAACCGCTTGTGTTCATGCCTACACAGCAAAACCTACCCTTATAACTTTGCTGTCATCCATAAATACGTGTAGTCCAGATATACGTTTATTATTATGCGTAGTTATAGGATTACCGTTCACTAAACAATTATAAACGTCGGGAAAAGATTGCAACTGTGCACATCTAACTTATAAGCATTTCGACTCTGCTAACTCATCCACGGACAACAGTACCCTTAGTACTAGTTTGAGCTCACGAAAACTATCATACACACATCAAAAGTGTCTAGGGATCAAGCATTTTTATGCGGATTTCTTGAGATTGAGATGTGGCTTTGTAATAAATTTATGATTTTATAAATTTATATGGATCCTTTTTGGTGCATTTCATAATTTGAATCAGGAACTGTGAATCAAATTCGAGTAAAAGATGAAAATCAGCTGTCAATATTTTCCCTATAAAAACATACAACGCATTGAAGACATTATTAGTGCTACTGTTTCCCTACTACTGATTAAAACCAACGTTATTATGGAGCGGCGACGTCATTTAAGCAGGGAAGAAATGCTCAGAGCCGTGGGAATGATAGAAGCTGGTTCCCGGCAACGTACTGTGGCTTTAGCTCTGAATACAAGTCAGAGTGTTATCAGTCGACTTTGGACACGATACCGAAGCACTGGTACCGTGGCTGAGCGCCATGGAGGACGGTATCGCTGCACCACACGGAGACAAGACCGATACATTCAAATCTTAACTCGAAGAGCTCCAACAATAACCGCCATGATGTTAGCCGTGAGGCTTCATCACTCTTCAGGGAACTTAATTAGCGACCAAACAGTCAGAAACCGCTTGCATGAAGTGAACCTTCATTCCCGAAGACCGCTACGGGTACCACCTATAGCAATGCACAATCGTAGGATTCGATATCAATGGGCTCTTGAACACAGAAATTGGGCAGAAGAACAATGGTGTTTCGTGTGCTTTTCTGATGAGTCTCGTTTTGGTATGAGACCGGATACAAGACGTATACGACACTGGAGAA